GTCCTTACCTGTTCTTATAAATATCGTTTATTTCTTGGTTGTATACCTAATAATATATTGTTTTTGCTAATATGAATAAATTTTTCCGATTATACGAAACAGAACTGATACAATCAACAACATTGTATCAATTCAAGTGTTTCTTGCATAAAAAATATTTATGATTTGTGTATCTTTGTTTTAATTTTCTATTTCATGCAAGAACTTGTAATTATCTTATTTTTTTATAACATAATAAAAATAACATAATAAAATGTATTCGAAATATCAGAAATATCAATCCGCTTGGTTTGGCCTGCAGCCATTCCTAGCCAGATTAAGCCATAAAAAAAACCAGCCTGTTGACAGCTTTAGTATGCAGTTAGTTCTATTTAAAAACGTTGAAGTAACAGAGAAAAAAACGTTTGAAAAAAAAATGTTTCAGTTTAAGCGTTAGAGTTAGCAAACGTTAAAGAAAACATCTATGCTAACATCTTTCATTATGTGCTAACGAGGGGACCGATGCAACTGATAAATCGCTTTTGAGTTCAGACTCTGTGCATAAGATAGACCCTCGTGAGGTATGAGAAACCCTGAAAGGACAAGTGCCCATAGGCCTTCTGTCCAGAGTTCTAGGCATTTTATTGGAATTTTAGCCTATGACACGGTATATACCAATAAATCGAATGACGGTATTTCGAGCTGAGATTTTGCCCACAGAGGGGTCTATTTGTTAGTAGTATATCCTAAAAATTTCAGCTCAAAAGAACATTTTTCTCCCGAGATATTGCAGCCTCAAAAATCGCGCATATCCCACAAAGTCGCTAGAATTTCCTACTTTTTGGAACTTTAATATCTTGGGAAGGAAACACTCTTTTGAACTGAAATTTTCAGGACATTCTACTCACAAATAGGCCCCTCTGTGAGCAAAATCTCAGCTCGAAATACCGTCATTCGATTTATTGGTATGCACCATGTCATAGGCTAAAATTCCAATAAAATGCCTAGAACTCTGGACAGAAGGCCTATGGGCACTTGTCCTTTCAGGGTTTCTCATACCTCACGGAGGTCTATCTTATGCACAGAGTCGGAACTCAAAAGCGATTTATCAGTTGTATCGGTTCCCTCGTAAGATGATATCCGGTCAATTGTTGCTGTTCATATTACTAATAACAACGAATACTGGATTAGAATTAGAGACGGTAGATTATCTTATTTGAACTGTAAAGTTTCCATTATCATAAAGATATATATATATATAAGGTGTAAATAGACAATTCACTGTTGATGTGTATTCTATTGGCGTCTAACGTTGCCTTACGATATTTTTGGTAATTGTTCATTGTATAGTGCGATTATTACAATAAGAAGAAAGATGACTATCAAATAACAATATAGGATTCAAATGACAATTAAACTTTTATTATAGATATAATAAATGTATTTATCGGTTTTTCTTATAAATTCAATAGTAATTTATTTAATGACAACCACCATTGATAATCCATAGTTTCTTGTGTCGAATAAAGACAAGCCTTTACTGATGTTAAACAGTATTGTATATAAGAAACCCAAGAAACTAAAACAAAAAGGTACTGGATGTGTCAAACAGATGGATGTTGTGCGTACGTGCACACTAGCATCTATAATATTGTTCATGTATAATTTATTAAAAAAATTTTCTCTACTCCCTATATTAATAAACTATCTACATCTGAATAACCTAACCTATTGTATGCTAACATTTTCGACATTTTTTTCCTCAATGTTTTCTGATTCGATCTTTTTTTATGCCATTCACTTTTTTACATGGAATTTATGCTTTTCTCTTCAACAGTAAACTAGTATCGACTCATGGGACCATGTGCACATATTCTTCATAATGTTATCAGCCCGTGAGCCCATTGATCTTGTAATAATAGATTTCTTCTGCAAACTCAGTGATGTGATATTGTGATCACAAGTCTAATTCATTGGAAAAGAATACTTTTTCCAGGATAGATAAAGTTCTTCGAGAGTTAGAAAATAGTGACAAATTTTGTGCGTGAGAATACGCTACTGTTGAAAATTCGAATGAAAACTGATTTGTAAATTCGCTTATGATGAGGGAATGATATAAGTATATTTATTCAACCTATTTTTCATGTAGAGAGGCTTCGGTCATTTAAATTCACATACGTGTTGGTTGTTCATAATCTGGCATCACACTTCACAGACTGAATTCTTCCAATATGTATGCCTATATTGTACTGTAGCTTTTACAATTTAACTTTGCGTATTCGTTTATGTTATGTATACTCGTATTGTTTTCTCTTTCGTTGGTATTCAATCTATGCTAAGTGTTATGCAGTAAACCGAACTCACATTTTTCTACACATACAGCATTCACACAATTATTCTTTCATTTCTTAAGCAGACAAAAAAAATTGAAAAAACACTTGAAAACGCTAAATATATTTCAAGCTTGGGTGTGAGGGTAAATGTTGGTGAAGAGAAAATCCACACCCTCCTCCATAGAACTTTGAGACCTCTCAGATTTTTATGTGAAATCTCTATTCTTCAATTATTGACTTTAGCGTTATGGTAACCTTACAGTCAATGAACTTTCTCTTTTCTGAATAAATTTATTATATTAAGCATTCAAAAATCTAAAAAGTAGTACAAATCTCTAAAAATATGAAAAAAAAGAAAATCCAGAACCAATCTAAAAGGTTATATAAAACTCACAATTAAAACTCGAAGAATAAATAAAACAGAAATCATAAAGACAAAACAGTCAATGTACGAATATGAGAAAAAAAAAAAAACAAAAATAATCTTTAAGTCAAAAGTTCATAAATCCGAAGTCAATAAATTCACAAAACCAAATATTGAAAAAACCCTAAAAATAAAAAGTATGTAAGATCAGATAGGCAATATTTTCAAACAGTTTGTTGCAGACAAACAAGTAATGTTCATCGATTTTCAATTCACTTGGTCCTAGATTGAAAGATGATGGGATTTAATGCTAGGATCAATTGTGTGTCGAGTAATTAGAAGCAGATCTGTATTTTTACTACATATTCTTCTATTGAAGATAGGAAACGGTCAATGGGATACGTATGATTACATTGATTGAGATATAATAATTTCAAGTAGATCACTTGGCATAATTCTTGTAGGGTTAAAATTTTAAACATTATGAATCCGTTCTAATTGTAAACGGATACCTCGACTATGCCGATATCATACTGTCTGCGATGATAAAGTAAATAAACAGATCAAAATATCTACCATAGTCTGTGATGTTAAAAGTATCGCTAGTGAGCGGTTAGGCTGATACATCCGATTAGCATGTTTCAAAAATCTATAATTCCATGCTTTCGTACTCAAAAAACTAATGCTCCTAAAATGAATAATGTCATGGTCCCAAATTCGAAAAACGCCTCGTACATAAGCCGAGAGTAACATCTCAACCACTCTGTCACAAAGTGTGAAGAGCAAGGCGATATCGCCTGATCAAAGCTATTTGCTCTACGCTTCAAGTCTGACTAACAGCTCTGTAGCGCAAAATCTAAAATTCAGAAGTCGGAAAATTAATAATACTATACTAAAACCTCTATAGTCGCGTCTCAATTCAGTCCAAGAAGTTGAAAAATCATGTGAAAATCTAAAAGGACTAAGTCCAAAAAGGAAAGAAATTCAAAGTAGCATGTCAACATATTTGTCACCGTCTATGACGTTTTAGAAGCGTTTTCGGCATTTTTATTACAATCTGTGGCAGAGATTAATAGCTACATTGCAAAGACAAAAATTGGAACTTTCTGGATCTGTGAATTTGAAATCCATGCAAAATAAGAAAGTGCATTAGAAGTTCAAACCTAGGACGTCCAAAAATATCAAAGAGCACGTTAGTATGTCCGTTACAATTTGAGCGAACAGAGAATGTCATTTTTCCCACTACATACAGTGCCAGTCATAAGTTTCGAGACATGTAAAACTTTAGTTAACTTCAACCATTTTTCATCAGATTTTTTTTTACCACAGATAGGACTCGAAAGTAATGCTAAATGAAGTCACTACAGAGTCATGGTAGGAGTCCAGCAGTGCACGGTGTGGCAACTAGTTACTTATGTCTCGATCATATATGATGAGCGTTTGGCGCAAAAAAAGATGGATATGTGAAGCTGTATATGGCGCTAGAGAAAACAGTCATAGCTCGTCAAATTACGGAATAACAAATAAAACCTTTTGAGACTATTTTCGCCCCATATGTTCAACATTGGCGAATATCCTTTTTTTGAAAGCATACTTCCTATCTCAGTCAATCGAGCATGAATCGATACCATCGATCATAGTTTTTTAGCTGCGCTAGTGATAAAAATACGGTGAGAAATAGTTGAAGTTAAACTGAGTCTTACAAATTCTGGCTTGAAATATATTAGATCAGCTAATGAATTGCTTGATTATAGTAGAAATTGATTGTTTTCCTATTGACGTATTTATTATTTATTATTTTTGCTTATGTCAATAGAAGAGAGGCAGTGCTATGGAACAGTACATAATAAAATGTGAGTCATTAAAATGTGGCTCATTACTCACTCCTTTCAATAAACAGAGTCGTATACAATAAGACTTTTCTAGATCGATAGTGAAACACAATCAAGCTGAGTTGGTAAAAGGACAGACGATGCTTTTGCTCTTATGTAGGGATAGGCAGTTACCTAGTAAAGTACCGCTAACTCCTCATCCTTTTCTTATGTGAATGATATAGAACATGAAAGAATATTCGAGTATGGTCTAAGATGTGTGAATAATAATTAAACTTTGTTGATCACTAATGACAATGGAATTTTCCGATGTTTGTGATTTATGTAATAGAGGGAGATTTACATTAGATTCCTTGCTCTGCTCAATACTGTTTTAGCTACGAAACCTTCCTTTGAAAGTAAGGAATACCCTTAGTTTTATTACATAGAGAGCAGTTATTCTATACTCACACGTCAGTTTAATTAATCATTTCGTTGAGTGGATTCTTGTGACTATTCTTCTGTGTTTTTAACTAAATGTATTAAAAACAAGGGTTACAATCAAGTTAGAATAATATTACGTGATGATATTTCTTTCTTACAGTGAACTGTGGCAATGAAAACCGGTGGTAATACAATCGAATCGACACGATCTCGTTTAGGACCCATAAACCAACGGCGGGCAGAAACAATCCAATAGGTTCCAGCGATCAATGCCACACCACCAATGATCACAATAGCATAGTTCATATTATCTCCTGTTACAGGATAAGTTGAAGGGAAGAACATGAATATTGAAGTGATAAAAAGCCAAACAACCGAAACAATAGCAATAGGAAGACTGAATCGGCCTAAATTGAATTCACCAACAGGGAATCTCTTTCGACCAACTGTACATCGAAAGAAAATAGGTATTACATAAGAGATTTGGAAGCCGAGCGTAGCAATCGAGATAATAGCAGCAAATGCAGTAGTTGATGCTAGCTGGAGTAAAAGAAGAAGACAATCAATACTCACGACCAAAGCTATAATAACCAATGGTGCTTTGGTCGGCGGAAAAATCCAACGAAGAGAAGATGAAAATGGGAATACACCATCACGGGCCATGGCAAAACTGAAACAAGAAAAATCATCAAGTAACGAAAGAAAAGTTTTCAGCGTAATCCGTCCGAGATGTAAATGTGAAACACGATGGATCCGTTCCACTCCTTAAGGATAGTCCTAACCATATTAATCTTAATTGTACTTGGAAGCCTGAGATGAAACTGATACCGGTCTGGATTTTGGATCGAACGATCTATATCTTTCACTTTCCTGCTCTATGATTGTATCCAATGTACGAAGGTAACCCACAAAAGAGTTCGCTGCGCAAGAAGATTTCATTTCAAGCTTCAGCCTGTTGTCTGCAGATCGATATTTTGTCGATAGGTCGGGTTTTCCTGATAAACTGACGTATCATCATTATCCTGTTCACTATCGGTAGACTAGTCTAGACCAGTAGGCCGGTCAAACCGCTATACCGGCCGGTCTGGTCCGGTCTCAAAATTTCCAGACCAGTATCAGTACCGGTCTAGAAAAAGGTAGACCGGTTCTATCTCTGTTGAAAGCTCCCCGAATTCTGTACGTTTGTCATTGTCTGCGGGGAAGAACACCACAAATTTCTCATTAAATACTTCAACACTCATTTCCAATCGTGATTCACAAAAATGTAAACATCATACAATACCCAATCCGACTGGTCACTGTAATAGATGACATGCCGCCAAAGTACACATTAACTACTAGAAGAATTGTCAGTGCAAGTGCGCCTCCACGTGGTACAGCTAATTTATAGGCTGCAACTGCCAAGTTGAGCGAAGAATTGTCATCACTGTTATTTTCCATGAACAAGGCCATATCCGGGATTGCAAAGAGCAGAGCGAGTAAGTAAGCAGCACCGACAACAGCACCGATTACACAAGTGCCTATGATCCCTCTAGGAGCTGTAAGAAAAACATCGAATTTGGAGTTTTCCTCAAGATCAAAATGAGCGTCTTTCATCTGTTCAAACGAAATTCGAGTTTAATTCTTTGACGTTCTCTCTATATAGACATAGTCAATCGCTATCTCAGATATTTACTTACCTGCAAGACTAGCGTTTTGAGTTTCCTCGGCCAAATGAGCACCGGCTATATAATTTCGAAATAATACTAAAGTAAAAATAACTTCAATCCAGTAAATCTTACCGTCGTAACCGGCCATTGAGAACAGTGTCGAAAGGATACCAATACAACACATATATAGAAAGGGAAATCCAGTACCATTGTATGTGGATATAAAAACATCATGAGCAGAAGCTCGTTCAGGTGCCATAACCAAGAGAACAACAACAGTACTAATTGTAGAAGTTATTTGAAAGATAGCAGCAAGGTTATTGAACCATCCTTGTTGATCAATACGGAATATGTTTTGAATGGCCCATACAACGGTAATTCCTATACTAATACCTACTTGCGCTCCTGTACTCAACGATTGTTTACCATCAAGAATAAGAGCAGCATTAACAATGCTAGCGAAACCGGATGAGAACGCAGCATTAGCTTTAATATGCCGAAAACAGAGGGCATTTAGAATATTGTTTTCCTTCTTTACCTGATGCATTGCCAATGAAATTGAACCATCCACAAATAAATGAAGCCAATGGAGCATGTCGAGTAGGTACTAGTTGACCAGCCCTAGAGTTGAAATATAGTTTCATTTTTGAAAAATTACTAGCAACTCTTTATTATATACCAATAATAGACAGAACCAGCACTTGGATATACAGAGCAGATTTCAGCCAATGATAGACCGACGAGAATTGTAAAACCAGATCCAACAAACCAAGACCATATGGCCACACCCGATCCACCAGTTCTCAGTGCATCGGTGAAACTGATTGAAAGGGATGTGAGCACATTGACAGCAGTGAAACAGAAGGCAAATGACATGAATGGAGAAAAACCACGATAGAGTTCTTGGTGATAGCCCATTTCATGTTCACGACGGATGTCTGGTTCTTCTTCGTCTTCTTTTACTACGTTAGATTCCGCAGTCATGACAACAACGGCGGGTGACGGACCGGGAGAAGACATACTTTTTTCAATCTGAAATTGAACTTTTCTATTATTCTCTTCATCGACATGCCTCAGCCTCTCTGTAGTGTTAATAAATGAGTATTTTCTTCTGGCAGATGCAAGTTCTAGACAATTCGTACATAATCGATATTGATTCAGATGCAGTATCTTTAGTGCATGACAAAGTCTTACAATCCGATTGTTAATAATACATGAAAATTTCCACTATACAACTATTACTAATTACTAAATTTTCCTTGTTTTGCTGTGCATTTATCGAAAAACCTCTCTCGTGACTTACTGTTTGCTCTTCTACTATTTCGTCTTGAAGCACAGTGTTGATAAACTCTCCGCTGGTCACAAACGTAAGTGTATCGCTTATAGCCTTTCAAGAACTTGTTCGAAATTGGGAGAGGACGTGATTTCGCGAACTTTCTCTTAATTCTCATAGTATACGGTGGATGAAATTAGAAGACAGTGCCAAGAAGAGGTTATGAGTGCTTCATCGTGCCCTGCGCATGTTGTGTCCGCTTGGTAATCGTCCTCGACTGATGTATATCATTATTAATGATGCTCATCTGAACGGCATTGCTGGCCTTCATCTTAGTTAAGTATCAGAAGACGGGTTGGATGCAATGAAGTGATGACAATGTAAGGCATCGATGTTGTGCATTCTATTTTACTTTCAATCCAAGCACAATCGACTACTTGAGGCACTACAATGATCATAGAGTAACGAGTGGATCATAAATAACGGGTCGATTTCCTTCTTCCCTTTCTGAGGAGCGACCAGCATTGAAAGACGTCATTCTTACATCATTTGATAGAGAACTTTTCACTCTGCAAAACAGACTATTTTACGTAACGCTCCCGGTTAAGTGCATATTATGCACGATGTTTGATCTACCCTTACTGTTATTACTTCGTACATCATGTTGCACTTTATCCTTCTCTTCCTTTCTTCTGTCTGATGGACGAGTATATAAGTGTATGCTTTGTATGGAAACGATGCGATTCTTGATAGAAAGAAATATAATAGAGCATAGTACCATCAGTGCTAACTCTTCTCCTAATCTAAAAATCGTCACATTTGGCGATCCTGGCAATCGGTCTTCTTTCTCTTGTGTTCAAAGTCCAACGTCTCTATCTTAGTTTACAACATCATCCTTGCATCACATTTTATTTTGAACAACACGAAATAAAACGATGATACCGATTATGTTCGAGCTGTCGAATAACTGGAGATGATGTAGGGGCAGTATTATTACCGAATGTCAGCGAACGTACTAAAGGGTGGCTTGCGTTCCAGCCGACTGTGCGTAGTCCCAACGCATTTTCCTTATAATATCGGTACGTACTGCGCTTTGGCGTCTCGACTCACTCTATTATCCAGCACTTCGTTCATTCTCTTCATCAGTTTCATACACTCATATCAACAGCGCAACTATACCGCTCGTCTCTAACTTCTAAGTGACATCAACATTCAAGTTTGCGAGTGCTGGTGTGACCTTATTGTGTCTTTTCACCTCCTCAATGCACTGAACGGCTGTGGCTTCTGGTACGTGCGTAGTGACACATCGGCTTACGTATATAAATAGCGAGTCCATCTCAATTAGGTAAGGATTGAGATGGCGACATACCGACCAAATCGTCGATTCATCCATGAGCAGAACGTAGTGGAAGTGTTCTCCTTCTGTTGTCTGGTGGTTTGTCTCATCAATGTCACACCTTCACCAGCATTTTAACAGCTGTTCGTTCGCATGTATTTCTTCGTTGTATTTTTTTTTCTTCTTCTGTTAATGTATCCTCATTAATATCGTTCTAAGTCGATACACTATTTCGACACTTTCTGCTACTTGTCTCCTCTCTGTTAGTTTTTTTTCTTTTTTTCTTCTCTCTTGATGTTACGGACGCACGGGATAGCGTCCAATTTCCATCGGGGATGTAATGCTCTCGGTTAAGCGCATATTATGCATGATGTTTGATCCGCCCTTACTGTTATTACTTCGTACATCATGTTACACTTTGTCCTTCTCTTCCTTTCTCCTGTCTGATGGACGAGTATATAAGTGTATACTTTGTATGGAAATGATGCGATTCTTAATAGGAAGCAATATAATAAAGCGTAGTTTTATCAGCGCTAACTTTTCTTCTATCTAAAAATTGTCACATTTTGGTTTTCAAATAAATGAAATAAATATTTCTGAACGGCAAAAAATTAAAATGATCAACGACTACTGAATCACTCATTGAAGATCTCTTATCTTCTGCAGATATATATTGATTTGTGTAAGCATATGCTCATAAAGTTCGATGCTAAAAGCAAAGTAATTATTTACTATTAATAGATAGAGATCCTCTCAGAAAAGGGTCTTTGGCGATATTTTCAGAATTTTACTTCAAACATTTTTCATTCAACTATTTTTCCTAAAACTCTGAAATATGCAATGAATGATGTAGAGTTTTAGTGGGAATCTTATAGCATATTTGAAGTTTCAGCAGAACATTTTTTAAAAACTTTTATCATTTCTATCTTTTTTTGAACATTGGTGGAGGTACACCGTTCAATTCATTTAGTGCCTACATATTCTGTGAAGGACGTCGTCACTCTGTTGTTTATTCCCTTGATACTTGTTCACACGATATTTAAAATAGATCCTATGAAAAATAAATTACCTATAGAGAAGCGAGTCTTTTCTATCTTTTTTCCTACATGAAGTGAATCAGTCATTTTTCTTTTTAAGAATCAGAGGCATGTATTTACTGTATATGTTCAAGCATATAAAAAGAAGAAAGAATTGCATCGTCATGCCTGTAATGGATTGTTTTTCATGAATCCTTTTGCTTTCAATGTAGTGATTGATTTGCTCTTGAAATTATTTGAGCTATTAGATTAATATCGACTGTTTCAATACCTACATCGATTCTATTAATCTCTTTGCAGAATCTATGTGGCTTATCCCAATCATAGTGTAGCCAAGAAATAGTCGATATCATTAGAGTGCAACATATTTTCAAGATTCAGTCTCTCTAGTGCTTACTCCAAAATTTTTGCATTTGTCAATCTTCCATCAAAACCCCATCGAAAACTCAAAGATAAGGCTGAATTTGAGCTTGACAACAGCACCTGACCAATTATGAGCAGTTATCCAACTTAAGTTAATGCATTCATGGAAACTCAACGAGTTCTATTCGCCGCTACCTTCAAATATTGCGAATGGTTCCATCATATTTAGCGATGTTGTTCGTACATTTCCCACTCCCTCCTCTCTTGTACGATTCTACAATATGATCTATATGTTTTTCTCATCGAACCAACTTGTCCTTGTTACAATTAAGGATCGATAACATGCTAAGAAAGAATATTACTTACAAAGATAATTATCGTTACATCAACGAATTATGTGATTTTAATTTATCTCTTCATGTTCTGGGCGATGCGAATGCCTATAAATTGGCTAAAACAAAAATACTTACTCTCCTCTATCAGAGACGTCAATCACGATAACACGATGTTATTCTTCAAATTGGATTAACGAAGTAAAACCTCGATTTGATCAAATACGTGACTATTGCTTATCTACAGGATTAACGATCGCGTTCTGCGCAGAAGATTGTGTGAGTGCTGTATGAGATGTTGTCTATAAGAAATCAAATTTGTTCGTCGAGTTTAAAACACCGCTCGACAACGCCCGAGAGAAAACAGGGTGTGGGTTAGTCTTAAGATCGGTTCTTACACCCATCCTCAAGATCCACATCCATACCCATCCAAAAACGCTTCTAATGTTGTTGATTCAAAGATAAATGTCTAGAGAAAAAATTGCTTTCTGCCAGTTAGAATTATGGCCATATGGTTGACTAAGAACAGACGAATGATCAGCTCATATGCATCAGTGTGATCAAGTGTAAATAATCTATTGAGATATTTTACGTCTTTGTTATCATACGCCTGTGTATATCTGACCGTACACTTTTGAGGTTCCAAGAATACTCTGAATATTTGTGATTCTTCAGGTAAAGTTTGATCTTCTGTTTTTTTTTCAAAACTTGATTATGGCGACTAAGATATAGATATTCGTACGACACGACGTTCAATAATATCATTATACATATTAAGAAGAACGTACTTACAGTCAATGATAACTTTTTACATTGATAATTTAATCTATGATGTAAAAATGACACATCGACTGTGGTTGCTGGAGATTTTGTTATTATCTAACCAAGATCTTTGGTTTCCCAAAATTTCCAGCTCTCTAGTTAAAACTAGCGCTTCATTGCATGAACTAGATTGAAATACGTGAATTTTCGTACTTGATTTTTGTGACTCACATCCATTTCAAAACAGAAAAACTGTGGGTATTTAGTGAATAACTTTTGATAGAAACGAGAGAGAGAGAGAGCTGCAGTTTCCACCATATGAAAGAGGCTGTATCACTGCATAGTTTCATATAATACTCAAAAAACATTGATTCATAATTCGATTGTCAGTCAGCGATCTTCAGAAAAATACTGAAAGTTCTATGATGATTGCATCGAGTTTTAATTATAAGGAGTGTGATAGATCTACCAGTTTAGGATCTACAAATCTACGCAAATCCAAAATATCTACCTTGTTTTCATTCAAGAGTTATATATGCAACATTACGCAACATAAGCACATTTTCGACAATTTTTACAGAATTTCAGAAGTTCGCAGGCACATATCTCTTCTTGAAAATGTCTCAATGGCCTACAATATTTGCTGTAGACTCAGTTTTGTATGTGCTTTCCATCAGTAATCTCGAAACTGTCAAGTGGTTCTATGATCAATCCCTGAAAACAATGAAGACCATCTTAGAAACGTTCGATATATACTTTAATTATCGGAGATTGTAGTTCGCATCGAATTTTCTGTTCCCTAAAAATTTCATCCAAAACGAATGTTCTTTGACTCCGGTGTCATCGATTGTAACAGTAACAGCTATGGTAAGGATGATGACCAAAACAGCTTATTTTGGTGCCGCAGACTGTTGTCT